GGCAAGCGTTGTATCGATGCTAATCGCGGCCATCGATATCGGTACTCACAGCTCTCCGGTATCGATGCTGATGACAGCCATGAGTGCTAATTACAGCCATCGATGCCGATCACGGCCATCAGTGCTGACCACAGCCCTCCTATTAACATGGTCTTGGTTGTGCCGGTGCTGATCATGGCCATAGGTGCTACGGCCATGGGTGCTACGGCCATAGGTGCTACGGCCATCGGTGCTCCGGCCATCGGTGCTGACCACAGCCTTCCGATCGGTGCTATCAATGTGGTCTTGGTTGCTTCAATTTGCACCGGCAAGCGTTGTCCTGCTTCGCGGTCCGTGGGTCCGCTTCCGCCCTTTTAACAAGGCCATGGACTTCTTTGCCAACGGCAGCTTGTAGAAGCGCCGGGTCACATGCCGGGCAATCTATGCGCGATAGCTTACGTCGCCGGTGATTAGTAGATGTTGCTCGGAAATGATTGCTGCTACTTCAAATACTATACTCTCCCCCCTTCCTCTTCTTAACCGTATCTATTTATCTATCCCGTGACCAAAGCGTTTCTCATTTGAGAGAAATTCTCAAATTTAGCTGACCCGGGAAAGTAAAACGGCTCTTCGATGAGTTGGAAGATTTTGGATCGTGGCATGTGCCCGACGGTTGCTGCGCTTCGCTGCAAGTCGACGAGGACGCCGCGCAAAAGATAATGCGGCGCATCTGGATCATGAGGGCGGACTTGCACTGCTAAGTTGCTTTCGCGCAGGACGAGGAATGAATAATGCGAAAGACGGATCTAACTTTAATATCACTAATGAACGACGAAATGCGAGCGGCAGCCCGCGAGCTGATGCCCTTGCGCAAACCATTGAGCCTTCGCAGATCGGTGCTATTAACATGGTATTGGTTGCTTTGCACCGGCAGAGGTTGTATTAGTGCTGATTACAGCCTTCCGAACGGTGCTATCAACATAATCTTAGTTGCTTTAATTTACACCGGCAAGCGTTGTTCTGCACTCGCAGATCTATGCACTGATGATAAGGTCAGCTCGTCTTGCGAGTTCTTCGCCGCAAACATGTGTACCTTCTTTGCTGGAGAAAAGGCGAGTCGCTCGGCATAGTTGTCGTGGACCATCTCGAGCGGCTCGGACTAGAAGTTTGTGATGATGCTAGTATGAAGGGGGCTTTGCTTTCGGCCCCAAATCTTCGCTGGTGCTCTGAAGCTCGCCATCAGCCCCTGGACCGCCCATCGTTGCTTGGTAGATCTCTAGGTAGACAGAAGGGAGGAGCGAGCACTGTCTCATGCTGGCGATACTGGATCCGGTGGTAATGGTGACGTTGAGTTGGTAGTTGACAACGAAAGGCAAGCGTTGTATCGGTGCTGTGCCATCAACGTCGTCTTCCTTGCTCTGCATCGGCAGGCGTTGTATCGGTGCTGTGCTATCAACGTAATCTCCCTTGCTCTGCATCGGCAGGCGTTGTATCGGTGCTGTGCCATCAACGTCGTCCTCGTTGCTCTGCATCGGCAGGCGTTGTATCAGTGCTGTGCCATCAACGTAATCTTCGTTGCTTTGCATCGGCAGGCGTTGTATCGGTGCTGATCACAGCCTTCCGATCGATAGCCTATATTAAGCATGTTAGTATATATGCTTGCGACATGACCTCGGCTCTACAATACCCACAGAACACGTCAACTCCTGTTCGAGATCGAGCCCACGGTTTGCGACCTTCATGACGACGAGGTACCTGGCTATTTGATAAGGCTCCGGGAATTGCGCAAGAGCAGACAGATATCGGGGATAAGCCGGTTGGAGTTGCGAAGGCCGGTTCGAGATCATCGGGTTCATCATCATGGGCTTGCGGAGGCTCTTTGGTTAACGATAAAGTCCTGAAAACTCGAAGATTATCGGGCAAACGTATATCCTATCGTATCGCTCTGTAAAGAATAATTAGATTAGACGTAATGCCACGAGTTCGTGGAGCGGAGCGCATAGCACTTGACAGGCCTTGGCAAACTCTGGATTTTAAGATTCCACGTGATAATGCCTAAGCGAACTCTCGGAATTTTCCTCACCAAAAAATTCCAAGAGTTTCTACGTCATAAATTCTTGGAATTTTCACCACCAAAAAATTCCGAGAGTTTGCACGTGATAGGCCATAAAAATACCAGGAGTTCCTACATGACAGGCTTTAAGAGTTCTACGCGTTTCCGAAGCTTCATGATCTTCTGGAAAGCATATTCGTGGTAGGCCTTAGACGTTCCACCAGTTTCCGGAGCCTTGGAAGGCATATCGCGTGATAAGCCCCATGCGTTCCAGGACATGTCCGGAGCCCACAGCACGTGACATCCCCCAAAAGTTCGTAATATGCGCGGAGGAGTAAAGTAGACGTATTCTCGTACATGCTTAATTGGTAGCGACTGAGCTGTCTAATAGCAGTCGTCTTCAGTTGTGCTTTTCGCATGAACCCATGGCACGTGAAAGGCCTTAAGCGAACTCTCGGAATTTTCCTCACCAAAAAATTCCGAGAGTTTCCACGTGATAAAACTCTTGGAATTTTTAAGCGAACTCTCGGAATTTTCCTCACCAAAACATTCCAAGAGTTTCCACGTGATACAACTCTTGGAATTTTTAAGCGAACTCTCGGAATTTTCCCCACCAAAACATTCCAAGAGTTTCCACGTGATAAACTCTTAGATCTAAGCGAACTCTCGGAATTTTTCCCACCAAAACATTCCAAGAGTTTCCACGTGATAAAACTCTTGGAATTTTCCTCACCAAAACACTCCGAGAGTTTCCAGGGGGGGTACGTCATAGGTCCGTCCCTCGCTCTACCTGGACCATTCCTCTTGTAATTCCATTACTATCGCCATCACCATCGCTATCACCATCGTTATCACCATCGCCATCGACATTGCCATTATCATCGTCATCATCATCACCATCGCCATCGTCATCGCCACCGCAATCGCCATCACTAACACCATTGCTATCATCACCACCAGCCGTATAACATCATGGCCACAACCTGCTTGCTTGCCTGCTTTCCTGCTTCTCCCCGTCTTCCTGCCTCTCTCCGTCTTTTTCGCCTCTTCTCCCCAATCGTCTGCACTGCATCGCAACGTTACCATGTCAATCAATTCATACGAGATGCGGCATCCCGCCGTGCTTCTCCTGATGTGCTATCCGATGTATCCAACGGGATATTTATTACATACCTGTAGCCTCAATCGCATCACCGCTTGATGATTTGCATCCAGGTCCATCAGCAGCAGCAGTAGCAGCAGCATCCACCAGCTGCACTATCACTACCACCAGCCATCGTGATGGATCACTACGAGGACCACAGCGACGACGACTCCGATTCCGAGTCGGCCGCGGGATCTGCTATAGGCTCTGACGAGAAGACTCTGGTTGAGCTGTGCAGCCATTGCCACGCGACTGTGGAAACGGAGAATGTACGTATGAGCGATGAGCGATGATCGAGTGACTCATGTCTGCTCTGCCTACGTGTTTAATCTATTACTACAGTTCTCAGTCTCAGCTAACACTCCCTTCCCAGCTCATCCTCTCGATGCATTCCCCTCTCACGCTCACGACGCGATGTACGATCCGCTGGCCTCCGACCGCCGTGGCGGCGCTGACCGGCTTCGTGGCAATGTATCATGACGGTAGCAGCGGCGGCGAAAACAATAACAATAACGGGACCGCCACCGCCGCGGCCATGATGGCATTGCTCGATACGCAGCCGGATCTCTGCGTGCCGCTCATCTGCGAAGTGCTCGAGGCGGAGACATTGGATATGTGGCGAGATGTAGAGGTTGTGGTAGTAAAGACGGGGAGTGGAAAGGGAGGGAAGGGGAAGAAGAAAGAGGAGCTGGTGGTCGGCATTGAAGGTTGGTGTTGGCGGAAGTGTGTCGACAAGGCGAGGAGGGATGGTTTATTTCGTGGGGGAGGTAGAAATGGGGGCGGAGGTGGAGGTGGTGCTGCCGGTGGCAGCGGCGGTGGTGCTGGTGGTGGAAGAGCAGGACTCCATGAGGAAGATGCCCAAAGGGCTCAAGGAGCTGAAGAGGAGGACCAAGCCGAGAACGACGCAAATGACTTGGACTTGGATGCGAATTATGGACCACCACCTCTTCCTCCCGCCCCACATCATCCCGCGCCCGCGCCCGCGCCCATCTTCACGCCGTCCCAACTCGGCACCATTGCTTCCCTCCTCGCCCAAATCAAAGAAGGCGAAGAATCCCTCGAAGATCTCGAGCAGCGCATTTCGAGTAGCAGCGCGTCTCTCGCCGCGACCACGGCGAGTATCGTCGCGGCGAAAGCCGAGCTCATCTCGACGCAGTCCGAAGTCACTTCGACCACAACCCAACTCGCCTCAGCCCAAACACAATTGATCACGACCAAATCACAACTCGCCTCTACCCAAACCCAACATGCCACGACCAAGTCACAGCTCAGCGCAATCCATTCCGAGCTCAACTCTGCCAAATCGCAACTAGCTACGACCCAATCCCAACTCTCTTCCGCTCAAACCCAACTCATCGCCACCAAGTCTGATCTTAACTCTACCAAATCCCAACTCGGCTCTACCAGATCCGAACTCGCCTCAACTCAGTGCCGGCTGACAACCACCACCTCGGAACTCTCCTCGTCTCAATCCCTCCTTACCGACACCAAGTCCGAACGTGCCACGATCC